TTCTCTTGCTTTCTACTCTGGCAGAAAAGAGCCATTGTGTTTGCATGCATTTTTTTGTTCCCTCCAACATCTATCTGCTGACACTTGACGCCCTCCATTGACAGAAAGAAAATCCTGCTGCAGCTGCAAAAAGTGGACAGCATTTTCTTAGCTGTGTACGTTTGTACTGGTTTGCCACCATTTACACTTGGTTGTACCTGTTCTGCATGCATACTCTGCATACTACACCAGGTGGAAGGTTCTCGAATGTATGTGCTTACAGGCGTTTCCTAATGAGCAATTCAAACAGCATATAGAGTCAACAGCTGTAGTCATCCCCTGATAGCACTGAGCAGCTCTCAATGTTATCAGTGGATGTTGAAGCATTACAGTTGAGTGGCTCATAAAGTCATACAATTCTGTATAAAGGTTGTAGAACCCAAGTTGGAGAAAAAATAAGGAACCTAATGCATAAAAATACAAAAGATAGTAGAGAGATACTTTCTCAAGCTTGTATATAAACTCTTTGTCTGTCTGTTCTTTTCTTTGGCTATAGATTATTTCTGAATGAGAAAGCAATTATCATTTCCATGGTTACTAAAGCAAATGAACATATTTGTAGAAAGAAAAAGGCTTTCAACCTTTTAAATTACAAAAAGATACATAGATGGATTGATGCCCTATTTACAATTAAATGAAAGAATATTTAATTTAGTTTTATCTTAAAACCTGCAGTGAGAAATCAGTTATGTTGCAAAAGTACGTGTTGTCACATCCAAGCACTTTTAAAATGCCATATTTCAAAACTTGACTTAAGCAGGTGTTAATGAAAAAAGTGAAGAAATTGGAGTCTTACAAAAAATAGAATACGTACAACTGTTTTAAAATGTGTGTACATAAGTTTTAAAAAACATCTTTAGATGTGACCTCAAATGGTTATGTTGAGTAACAAATATTAGTGGAAAACACAAGAAAATGATGTACAAAACAGTCAGTAACATGTGCATGACTACAGGGGAGGTAACTGAGCAGATGACAATAAAGATTGAACAAAAATAGGGCTATAATTACAGAAAGGGTAATATTGGGACATAAATCTGGTAAAACTTATCTGAATGTTGCATACGTGTAGGCCATCATGAAGTGCAGTATTAACAATTGCTGAAAAAACACTGAAACCAAATAAATGAGGACAAATACTGAAAACTAGGAAAGTCAAAGACGATACAAAACCCAAATTTACTTGGATGCACTTAAATAAAACCCAAAATCACAAACCCAAAGTGGAAAAAAACTTATCATACTTATGTTGCTCTGGGTGAAGTGCAGCAAGTATATAAGCATATGTTGGGTGTAACTGACAGATGCAGCTCAGTCACTCATCAAATGTGTTATAGAGCTGTAGCTTAAAGCTTTGCTGCAGGACTTCCGTCATAATGCTTCCATCTCCCTGAGTGAAACGGTAAATTCTGTCAACTGACAACTAGTAATTCAGGCTTGCTGCTGCTCAAGCTCCAAAAAAAAAAAAAACACTCCCTTTTAGACAGTAGCAATTTGAATCAAACTCTCCATATATTTTCATCCAAATATTATCTTAATTTGAAATCTATTGAATTACTTTTCTGGACAATACACAGCACTTGGTTCGTTTCAATGTATTGTGCAGGTTGACCTTCTCAAAAACCAATCCATGTAATTTAAGAGGGTCAGATCCATTGCTGAATAAGTTCTGTGAGCCAGAGCGCCACTTTATGGAATCTAAGCTCTCCTTAAACTAGACAGCTAAGCTAAAGGTTGTTGTTAGGCAACAGACATATTTGGTTCTCTGATATAATCTAGAGAGGTGTATGTGGCCTTTTCTTTACAAGTAACTCCATGACTTCTTAACCTGCTGATCTAAATTTTTCTCCTATCAGTTTCCAAAACGCAGAAAGAATTTTAAAACATTTGCAGTGACGCCAGTTGCATCCAGGGGCGCTAAACCTGGAAGATAAAGGTCTAGCACCTCCGGTGTCTAATATTTAAATAATGTTGCTTCAAAGCAGGTAGCTACAAGGTTAACTTCTCTATAGCATAAACAAAACCTTTAACTTACCTGTCTAAAAGGAAAGTCGGGTTTTAGCCCCTTTGTTTTCCTTAAGGTATAGTGGAGAATATTTGTGAATTTTTTTAAAAGACCCACCCTCTCCACTTACAAAAAAAAAAGCGTGCACAAGACAATTTCTCCTCGTGCACGCTCTGTTTAAAAGTTGCTGTTTGCTTCGTTCATACAAGCTTACTTTCAAAAAGAAAATTTGCAATTTTTCCACTATGTCAGACTCACCACCGGTAACTGAAAATAGGGACGAGCACTTAGAGTGGCCATATCACTAGACTGATTGACAATTAGGAGGACCACTTATTTTGATGATCCACCCGGAAAAAAAAATATCCTCCACTGTACATTTTAGTTGGCACCAACTCAAAAGCTTGACCGATGTTCACCCTTTTTTTTTTTTACCTCTTTGTTGGTCAATTTCATACTTGTAAAAATATATAAAAACTGCTATATAATATTTTTATAAAGAAATCAGGTTATCTTCCCAGAAATTATATTTCTAGTCCTTTGCGATGGTTCATAGATGCGACTACTGAAAAACAAAGTTTAGATGGAGAGTATTAAATAAATGATAAAATAAATAAAAAGACCAACCAAAAAACTATAATATTAAAAAGGTGACAAGAACAACTGACAAAATCTTGTAGAAAAACTGATTTCTGTTTTTGTGTTCTTAGTGTGCAAACTTCTTCATATTTGTGCTGCACAGTCAGACCCAGTGAACCCTGCCTTCTCAGAAACTCTTAAACCGCCCTGAATATGACTTTATGATCACCGATAAGCTTGTTGCAAAACTTGAACACACACTGTTTTTTCCATTCCTTCAGGGGACATCAAATTGACATAATTTAATTTCTAGGGGACTTAACCAGTATTCTGTGTTTCAGTTACCTACTTGCCCAAATTTATCAAGTTATTCCTATAAAACAAAACCTCTGCATGTTTCTCCATTTGAAAATTAGTAAAGGAAGGGAATTCACAGTGGGCTTTGACCTAGCTGCAGTGTCTGTGCTCCAGAGTTAATAATCATTAGCCTTTTATGCCTTTGTTGGTAACTGGCTGCTCTTTCGACTCAGTTATTTTGAGGTTATGGAAATTAATGCAAGATTAGTTGCTCAGAAACACAATTTTAGAAAAAAAAAAAAAAAAAATCTGCATATTTCAGCTTATTTTTTTAATACTTTCAATAGCTTTGACTAAAAAGCAATATAGGGCACTGTTTTGGTTTTTAATGTTTTTCTTTTAAGTAATTTTCATTTTAAAAATTATGAAAAACACTTAAAACATATTTAATGGAAAGTATAAAGTGATTTTGAATATTACAAGTTGCATAGAATTAAATTAACAGAAAACCTGGGGGCAAGATAAACAGAAGTTATCATAAGGGTGAAGCCCATTTATTTTTAATATTAAAATCTTGTAGAAGGATAAATAGTGGGAGGCCACTTTATCCATTACCACTAGGTAATAAATATCTTAAAGATAGATTCCTTCACTAATTGAGTATACATAAATGTAAGGAGTTGGATTTTTCCTAATTTTAAAGTTTGAGAAGTTGCTACTTCAATAAATCTTCCTTTGTTAAAGGTTTCTTCTCATTGTTTTTGTTTGTTTTGTCTTAGCAGGAGTACCAATAAATCAAGCTGGTGCTTTATTTGTGTGTTTCTATGTGTCACTCAGATCAGTTGAGTTTGTTGTGCTCCTTCTTCTCTCTGCATCATCTACCGTGTTTCCCTGGCATTTGAATAGCAAAACAGCCTGGTGATGCTGACTGGGTGAACTCCCACAGACCATAAACAAGGCTCAGAGTGTTGTCCTGAACACAATCCTTAGCTTGTTTAACACTGTTACAGTACATTTATTCATTTTATTGAACATAGCCTCTTGTAGTAGAACAGCATAAAACAGTCTTTGTAAAAAAAAAAAAAAAAAAAAAAAAAAAAGCACAATGTTTGCCCAGTTTTATTCTGATGTGTATAAGACCATCATTGAGTTCTTATATGCCTCTGCTTTTCCTTTTTGTTCTCTGTGGTGCTGTGCATCATCTAAACAACAAAAGATTTTGTCAAAATACAGAAAGATATATCTTACAAAAGAAAACTGTTAATTCTTAATATACAGAGCTAGATATAAAGGTAAAGTGTGAACGCATTCTGACATGTTTTCAGCTTTTCTACATTAAAACCACATAATTCAATGTATTGGCTTTCATTTGATAACATTTTTTTGCTGTTTCTCTTTTTTTTTCTTTTTTTTTTTTTCTTTTCACAAAATCAAAGGCTGGACCAAAATGGTGAAAGCTCAGGCTTTAGCCAAAGCATATTCTTTCTGCTACTTTTACTTGATTCTATTTCATTTGTTTTCAATTCTAATGTTTATTAATTTTGAGTATTCTTGTTATTCACACTGGTCAATACCTGCTATTTTTGCAGTCCTTTATATATAAAGTTAGCTTGGCTAATTTTTTTCAATTTCCATTCAGTTTCCCCAGCCTTTCACAGGCTCCATGTCTCTATTTAATAAAAACATAATTTCTAACAGAGTCAATCATGCTTGATAGCAGCATCCTGCTACTATGTGTTCAGGAGGATTTTGCATGTTGTAGCATCAAAAATAACTAGATTGTTTTTTGTTTTAATAAGGTGATTAAAGTCCGAAATTAAATATTACATATATTTAATCCCAACTGAGCATGGCATGTTGATTTCTATAGTTTTATTGAATTTATTTGCTCTCATTTAATTTTTAGTACTTCAGCTGTGTTTGAATCATTTATACATTGCAATTTTTTTTTCTTGATCTTATGCTTTTCATACAGAACGTTGGGAAATGGAAAATTTGCTTTTAAATGAGCAATGTATTTAACCTTTAATTAAACATACTGTAGCTTGAATAATAACAGCCTGTTTCTTGATTTCTACAGTGACGTTTTGCGCGGGAACCCAGAATGGCCTGAGCACGTCGCTAAATACAAATGTGCAGTACGATCGGACAAAGGAGATGTACACCGACTGCAACATTGTAATAAGGAACCTCGAGGTCAGCATGATGGAGCACACCAGAGACATGAGCTTCCTGCAGGTGAGCCTGTGAACATTTCCCTCTGCTTAGAGCCCGTTAGTTGTAATACTTCCACAGAAAATGTGTCACCATTGAAAGCGAAAACCAGTTCAGACATGGATGTGGATTCAGCCTGTGCCAGAAACATTCCTACCCTGAGGTTCCCCCAGAAGTCAGAGCCACATCAGACTGTGCACTGGAGATGATGTCACCAGACAATTTTGTGTGACTAAAATGATTTTAAGTGATCCAAGGTTGTCTTACATGCTTTTCATATGGTTTTATTTTGCAGTCTATTAAGGAAGTAACAGGCTACGTTCTGTTCGCTATGAATGAGTTCACCCGGCTCCCTCTTGACAATCTGCGTGTAATCAGGGGCACCACTCTTTACGAGGGCCGCTATGCTCTGGTCGTGCTGCTCAACTACAAGAAAGATGGCCCACATGGCCTTCAGGAACTTGGCCTGACAAACCTCACAGGTATGCTATTTGATGTGTATGTTTAAAGTGTGGGAGGCTGAGGTGGAGCAGATAAGAGCTGGATGTGGCGTTAAGCGACTGTTGGAGCTCACACAGGCTTAGTGAAGCCGCACCCCTTCAGAATGCCGCCTGTCAGTGAGGTAGCTGGAATGTGTCATGTACAACCGCCCAACTGTCAAAGTAACATGAGCTCGGTCCCACTGCACCACGTTTATACGTGCTGTAGTAAATACAGAGTTCCAACGTCTGATGGGATGAGTCATAGGCCTGTCTGGGCTTGCTTTTATCATTTCTATGCTTTTCCACACATTTGCATTTGTGCCACCCACAGAAATACTAAAAGGAGGCGTCAAGATCATCCGGAACGAGTACCTGAGCTACGCTCCACAGGTGAACTGGCTTGACATAGTGAAGAATGAATCAGCCGACATCATGATCGAAGGCAATGGCCCTAAAAGTGAGTCTGAATTATGGCGCAAAAGCAAGAGCCTGCTCAAGGGCACAGCTTTTATTTTTGTTAAAGGGAAGAGGCTCTTCCCAGATTGGTGTATTATAGTATTTTCCTGGAAGGAAAACATGTTGGGTTCATAAGTGATTCAGGTGACATCACAAAAAGACATCCGAAGACAAAGGCTACAACTTTCACGTTCATTGTGTTGATCCACCTCCGAACCAGACGAAAGATTAGACTGGTTGTCAGTGGTTAATACTGATCCTCCCCTCTTTATTCAGATGTAGATTTTTGCAACAGAATCAAAGCTGCCAGAGATCTAATAAGAAGTATCAAAGGGAGCAACTTCATCCACTGGTGTTGGTCCACTGTCCTTTGTTAAATCTAGTCAATGCAACTACCTACCAAATAGTTTAGCAGCTCTATGTGCTTCACTCTGCTGATAGACTTTGTGCATTAAGTAGTAATTTCGGTAAAAGAAATCTTAACAATATATTTTGAAAGCAAGTATCAAAGAATGAGGACACACATTTAAGTAAGCCAAAAAAAAAAGTAATTTTTTACCAGGCCAATGTAATGATATTGATTTCTGAGATCCAGAATTTGCTATCTTATTTGTTGTAAACCATAATCTTCAACATTTATACCAAAAAATGTTGATATATGAATGAATATAACTCTGTTGGTAATCCATCTTTGTGGCCTATGGCCATGGCTTTACGTTTTTAAACAGAATTAATAAAAAAGCAACTTTTTTATGTTATCTGATTCATTGAGAAACTCCTCTATAGACAGAAATGATGAATGACCAGTAAACAGTTTTACAGATTTGAAATTATTAACAGTTTCAGTCTTTTTTGCCTGCTTTAATCTGTAAAAGTATGTCCACTAACAATAATACATTTTTTCAGAGCCTTGTCACGCAGCATGTGGAGACGCACCTTGCTGGGGACCAGGAAGTAACTCTTGCCAGACCTGTGAGTTAAATTGGAAAGTTACTTTTCTTTAACCCAGCTCTGTTTACAAAGAAATGGATAGTAGATAAATTCTCTCTTTGACCATACTCTAAATAGAAGTGTAATATCACTGTTATTTAGCTTTACTAAAGTTTGCCACTTTTTGCACCCGTTTTTGTTGAAGTATAACAATTTTCCTCCTCTGCTTCAGTGACAAAAACTGTGTGCGCACCTCAGTGTAACGGACGATGCTTCGGACGAAGCCCCAGCGAGTGCTGCCACATTGAATGTGCTGGTGGTTGCAAGGGACCCCTGGATACAGACTGCTATGTGAGTCTAAAATTAACAGTAAATATTTTTACTCAGAAACCTGCTAGTTAATAATATAGTTTATTAGGCCAAAGTTATACAATATTCACTTCAACACGTGATCAAGACTGTTCTTGAATGAATATAAGTCGCAATTAAAAACATTTATTTTTATTTAATTACTATTTGAATGGTGCAGTAGTTCCCAGTAAAGTTCTTGGAGGACTTTATGAGCTTCTTGTTTATGTTTTTGGGAGCAAATATTAAATAGAAACCATGCTTTGTTTTGTTCTTTTAACTAACAGCTAATTTTGAAATAGTCTGATATCAAATTCTTCTATCATAGTTTCTGTCTAGTTTCTTTCTGTCATTTTTACTGAACATTACATTGGTTTTGATTGCACAATTGTTCTTATATTGCTGAATGACACTACTTCCAACAGCTTTTCTTTTGGAAGTAAATACACACCATTTTTAAGCACCTTATGTAAGCCTGGTAAATATTTTATTGAAAAGATAGTTTAAGTTCTTTGTGAAATAAACTACTCGCAATGCAAAACCAAAAAGACAAATCACTATAAAAATGCCTTACCTTTGCACCTGACTGTGCTGTATGTTATGTTTACAGGCTTGCAGGAACTTTAACAACTCAGGCTCATGTGTGCCACAGTGTCCCCAGACTCTGATTTACAACAAGCATACATTCAGAATGGAGCGAAATCCCAATGCCAAGTACCAGTACGGCTCTGTCTGTGTGGCCCAGTGCCCTGGTAAGTAACCCCCACACATGCTGCCTTATACTCATGCACTTATGATCACACTTAGTCACTGTTATATGGGATTAAATACAGCTTTCTTTATGCCTTATGATCACAAAGCTCTGGTTGTCAAACTGTTTAAAGTGCTTTGGATTAAATGCAAATCCCTAACAGGATGCATAATGTAATTTTCTGTTTATGAACAGCCAACTTTTTGATAGACGGCAGTTCATGTGTGAGCAACTGTCCAGCAGATAAAACGGAAGTGGAAAAAAATGGAGTAAAACTATGTGAGCCCTGTAAAGGTCTCTGTCCTAAAGGTAACCACTGCTTTACCACTAAAAATCTGTCACTGTTCTGTTTAAATTGTATTAAACTGATAATTAACACTCTTAAAATACTGAAAGGTATCCATTAGATGTTAAATGGAACTAATAAATAAATTGTGTTGTAGAGAAATTATTTGTTTTGTATTTTTGCCTCAAAGAACATTATATTTGGGCTTTAAAACAGGGCTTTTTTCGTTATGTGCTATTTTTACTTTATAAACATTTTATATAACATTTTTCTTTGTTTTTTGCAGTTTGTAAAGGATTTGAAGCTCAAGGAGGGCAATCCGTGGATGCAACAAACATTGACAGTTTTATAAACTGCACTAAAATCCAGGGCAGTCTTCACTTTCTGGTGACGGGAATAGATGGGTAAGAGAAAATGGGGGAAAACCCACTACTGTTACATGTTTATATTTCACTTTCTGTACATTTCAAGTCGTGGCAAAGTAGTTTTCATGACAAACTTCCATGCAAAGCAACTTGCAGATGATTTCAGAAAGTAAAAATTGTAAAAAAAATAAAAGTAAAAAAAATAAAATAAAATGTATTGTCTCAAACGTCTAAGTTAAAGACAACACATTTGTTTTTAGAATTAGACAGGAGGATGCACTCACAACAATACATTTGATCTCATGATCTTACAGCAAAAAATTCATAGCCCTGAAAAACCACAGTTTAGATCAGCAGTCAGAAACTCAAATCCTTGAGGACAAGTGTCCTACAATTTTCCGAAGTATTTCTAGCCCTGCCTATCTGAATCAAACGGTTAAACGAAAAACCATGCAGTAGAATTCAGCAGAGATCTGTAAATGAGCTCACATTGTGTTAAAGGGAGAGATGAATAACAGCTGCAGGACACCAACCCTTGAAGACTGAAGTTCAGGACCACTGCTTTATATTTTTCATTAATCTCTGATGCTCTTAGTTCAAGTGATGTAAAAAGTCAAGTTATACTCATGAAGACAATCTTTTGGAAACTTATAAGAGCAACTTTGCTTTCAGTTCAAATTTTTTAACACATTTAATCTACTATCAATCATCTTAGTAGTTCCTTGACTCTATTTTGCATTAGATCATTCATTTTCTCATTTTCTTTTTTGCCCAAAGTGATTCTTACAACAACATACCCCCACTCGATCCAGAAAAGCTTAAAGTCTTTAACACCGTGCAAGAGATTACAGGTGAGTTTTTAAACTATACCTATATGTAAGTTTCTATGGTTTTGTGATTGCGCTGTAGCCTGATTAAAGGCTCTGAAATGCAATTCCTCCATTTTCAGATGTCCTCAGTATCCAGTCATGGCCTAAAAGCCTGTCTGACCTGTCTGTCTTCTCTAACCTTCAAACAATACAAGGCAGAACGCTTTACAAGTGAGTTGTTGTTTTTGCTTGTTCCTTTGTAACTGCTGAGATATCTTATTGTTTTGTCGTCTTAATTGCATACACAATAAACCTTTATTGACCTGATGTTCTTTTTTATTTCCTTGTCATATGATATTTTTGCTTTCTGTAGGGGACAAAAGGCTAAAAGGTATCGTAAACTGTTCAAATCTTGTCTGTGTTTCGGTGTTGGGTTGTACTTATCTTTACCGGGGTGGTGAGATTAAACTGGTGGTGGGTACTGCTATTTAATAGCTAGAAGAAGAAGAAGGGTCTCTCTCTGATTATATTCCGCTGGCACTGCCGGAGCTAAAGTTATGAGGATGGTGTCAAGTTTTATCATTTTTATTATTTGTAGTTTTGCTAATTTCTATTCTGTTTCTCTGTTAAAATCATAAATAAAAATTGTATACATCTACTAACAAATCTACTTTGCTCTGACAATTCCCACATTTACTCACAGGTTTTGCCTTTTCAAAGGGATATAACAAAAATAAATAAAAGAACTAGAGTGAAAAATAATATATAGGAATACATATGTATATATATGTGTGTGTGAATATGTAGGAAATATTGAGAAACGGTTAAAAGTTTCTATTTAGTCCTTAATATGATCATAAAGTTTAAAATAAAGAAACTTGTTCATTTGTTTTTTCTGTTGAAAATGGCAAAACTCAAATATAGTCAATCCAGATAACCCACAACTTTTATAGTAAACCATTGTCAAAGTCTGATTATTATTATTTTTTTAATGCAGAATGTGTACTTACTTCCTCAACTGCTGTTTCAGGAGTTTTGCTTTCCTTGTGATGAGGATTAAGTCTCTCACATCCCTCGGGTTGCGCTCCCTGCAAAGGATAAATGACGGTAACATCTATATCAGCGGAAACGAGAAGCTGTGCTACTACAACACTGTGAATTGGACGCGAATTCTGAGCCCGGGTTTCCGTCCCCAGAGGTGGCTAAAGGACACCAAGGACAACAGGCCAATAGAGGACTGTGGTGAGTGGTGTGACAGTGGCGGGTTAATTGTTTTTAATATTGGTCAAAGAATAACTAATTACCTAAACTCATCACTTTGTTTGTTTGTTTTTTTAGAGAAAGGAGAAAAAAAAGATTAAATTACATTTAAGCTACAGAAGCTACCTGCTATTTACCTAATATTTTTAATTCATACACATTACCTTAAAAGAGATGATGGTGCTTCTCAAAATAAATCTGCTGTCAAATAATAAGTGTAACTTTATTCCAATTCCAGATAGGATACTGAACCTCTCTTATCAAATCTGGCATCATATAATCTCAGACTGAGCATTTTATAAATATGCTGCTTTTAAAACAAGCACAATTATTTAATGGGGGAATATTGCATCTATTTTTATTACCTGTAGCACCTCTGGTTGGAATCAAAAGCAAGTCAGCCATAAAAATATAGGAATTGCAGAGCTGGTTCAACAGATGTTAAAGTACTTTGTGCACAGGAGTCACCATCCTTCTCCAAATCTAAAAGTTACAGACCTCCAAAGTTTGTAAACCTCACATTACTTACAGCACATTGAGTGGAGTGCTTTATGTTTCAAAATGGCTCAATCCAAGCTTTGAATCAACAAGTCCAGAACTGGTGTCAGATATGTTTTAAGACTCCAAGACATAGCACTGATCTCTGTGCAGTCATAAATCATGCTTTTCTGTCTGGCAACCCAGTCGAGCGTCATGGTTTTACATCTGCCAGGAGAACAGCACCTGTCTGACTGCATTGTAAAGTTTGGTGGAGAAGGCATTATGGTGTGGGCTGTTTTTTTTTTGTTTTTTTTTTGTTTTTTTTGTTACTGTAGTTTAAAATAAGTGGCCTCCTGGTTTGGGTTAAAGTAACTCTTGTATTAAACCAGCAAAAATGGCACTAAAGAAAAAAAAACATTTCAAAACTGTGTTCTTTAGACTACACTTTTTTTAAGGTATGCCTTCTGCCGATACAAACGGCAAGAATTAAAAGAAGCCACATAATTTGTTTTTGTTAAATAATCCCCTTTGTGCTTCATAATTACAGTCTACACAGATATTGTTTTACAATTTAATTATCCAAATGCTATAAGAACAATGAGAAGATGGACTTTTCCAGACATGATTTGGAACCAGGGCTCAGATTAGGATGTAAAGGAATGAGGAGAGTTCTGATTTCACAGAACACCTCATAGATAAATGATGCTAAGATCTGACCCTGCTCTACCAACAGCAGTGTCTGACACAAAAATTTGTTTCTGTAGGAAAAATAAATCAAGTGTGTGAAGAAAGACAAGATGATTGGTATAAAATTGTTGCAACTTCAGATTGCAGTATAGAGTTAAGAAACGCTGTTGGAAATGTCAGCATCACCTACATATATAAAACTAACAAAAGCAACATAAATTAAAAGTAAAAGTAAGTTTCCTTTTGACTGGAACAATGCATTTTATTGAAGTTTTATAGGAATGCGATACACCTTGATTGTATTATTTTTGTGTGTGCTCAGACCTATTGATGTTGTTTCAACAGTGCCAGTGTGGTGTCTTAGCTTTTCAAAGTCTGTATGAAACAAATCAGTAAAAATAAGGGTGCAGCAATAAGATTTCTCTTCCTTCCTCTCTGTGCAGTTAAAGAGGGCCACGTGTGTGACCCCTTATGCTCCTCTGATGGATGCTGGGGTCCGGGGCCTGACCAGTGTGTGACCTGTAAAAAATACAGACGTGGAGGGACTTGTGTACCAGACTGTATGTTTCTATCTGGGTAAGTCTGTGGTGGGGGTGGTAAATCACATTTAGAATCAACCAAGTTTCAGCTAGTTGCTTTATGGATGACACTTAAATCTGCTAAATTTTACGACCTTTCTTTGCTTCTAATTCAGAGAGAAGAGGGAGTTTGCCTCACAGACAGGCGAGTGTTTGCCATGTCACCCTAACTGTAAGGTCCAAGAAGGCATGGAGACGTGCAGGGGCCCGGTATGATCTTTTGCATTTTTATACCCGTTTTTAACACCCACAGATGTCCTTTACTTTAAACAATCAAGGCACATAAGGGACCATGTTTAGGATGGTTTGGGAAATTGCTTTCTGCTGCTCCCTAGTGGCATCTCCACAGACATGGAAGGTGTTAAAATATATCTTCTTCATTGTGGCTCTTTCCTCTGTCTTTTATACCATCTCCAGGGAGCAGATCAGTGTATAGCTTGCTCCAAGCTGCAGGATGGTCCACACTGCGTCTCTTCGTGTCCCAAGGGTGTGATGGGTGGGGAGGAAGTCATTTTTAAATATGCCGACAAGCATGGGCATTGTAAGCCTTGCCACACAAGCTGCACCCAAGGGTGAGCAATGATTACAAAACTATACTATACTATACTTTTCTTTTTTTTTTATCTTTTTTTTTTTACTGACTCTGTATTCATTCTGCCTTTAGATGTACCGGCTCTGGAATTTGGAATTGTGTTGGGAATTCTTCTTCGTCAAGGTCTGGATAATCTTGCCTCATATTTAGATTCATGATGTATATTTTTTAACATTGCTGTTAATGACTGTGATGCTTTTTTTTTTATTTCCTTTAAACCTTTGTGATTAGATTTGCAACCATCGGGATCGTGTTGGGTGTAATAGCTACAATCTTCATCTCATTATTCATTTTTGTGCTGGCTCTTGTGTACCGCCGAAGCCGCGCCATCCGTCGTAAGCGAGCCTTCAGGAGATACATGGAGAATGGTGAAGTAAGTTGGCATGTTTGTCTTAAACATCCTTGTACTACTTTATTTTTTTCAGCAATTATATGAAGCTATACCCTGTATGTCTTTAGAGCTTTGAACCTTTGGAAGAGAAAGAGAAAGTCCATGCTAGAATCCTGAAACCCTCAGACCTGCGTAAGATCAAACCACTGGGTAATGGAGCATTTGGAACAGTCCACAAAGTACGTTCTGTTATCTTCTACAACCTTCCTCTTCCACTTTTGATTTTAATCAATCACTCTATGAAGGAGCCCTTATGCTTTCTTTATCTCGTAGGGCTTTTGGATCCCTGAGGGAGACACTGTGAAGTTGCCTGTTGCCATAAAGACTGTTTCTGATCGCACTGGTCGACAAACTTTCAGCAGAGTGACAGATGTAAGTCAATGCAACCTGGATAAAAAGGTTAATCTGAAATATAAAAAATCATCCATCCATCCATCCACTTAAAAGGAAAAGTCGAATTATATCATTAGGTCTAATAACATGACCTACTTGGTTTCAACAGCATATGATCGCAATGGGAAGCCTGAACCACATCAACGTTGTGAGGACGTTGGGTTTTTGTCCCGGTAACAGTCTCCAGCTCATCACCCCACTCAGTATTCAGGGCTCCATGCTGGAACATGTGAGGAAAAACAGGAACAAGCTAAGCCCACAGAGGCTGCTCAACTGGTGTGTTCAGATTGCAAAGGTAAAGCACCGGTGCATTCTCTATTGTTGTTATCTTTATTGTTGTTGGTTTTCTGTGTATGTTGGTGTTTATTTATGTATTCTCTAAAGATGAGTATAGTTATAACAACAGTGTTCCTCTTCACCATCAGGGTATGAATTACCTGGAGGAACACAGGATTGTCCACAGAAACCTGGCTGCTAGAAATGTTCTCCTCAACAACAACTTTACTGCACAGATTTCCGATTACGGCATCGCTGACCTGCTGTATCCAGATGAAAAGAAATATTCTTTTAATGAAAGCAAGGTCAGTTTTTTTTTTTTTGTATACAGTTTCATGTAAGAAGATTCAACATATTGAATTTTCACAAATTTCTTATTGTCGCAATCACAATTGTTGATTTGTTTTATTGGGATTTTATACATTAGAAAAACACAAACTCACAAAGATATGGTCATCCATATAGACCTGCATGCTGCGAATGAGAAGCTGCTTAGGGAAGTGGTTGTTAACACTGCTCCTCACAGCACACTGCCTTGAATGTTTTCGGTGTTTCTCTGCTTTAACTAGTGTTGCGCCGATGCCATTTTTTGGCCCCGATACCGATACCACCATTTTAGGGCAGTATCGGGGCCCCGTCCGATACTGGTATCGGTATCGGGGCCAAAAAATGGCATCGGCGCAACACTAGTTAAAGCAGAGAAACACCGAAAACATTCAAG